GAAGGGCAATGCAAATTATTTTGTCCACATATTTTTCTCTAGTAGCCTCTCATCAATCAGAAATCTGGCCATCCCAAGTCTTTTGTACAAATTAAAAACAAAGAAATTAATTTTTATTTCTATAAACTATTCATGAAATGTACGACTTTGTCCTAAAGCCGTTGCCTGGTTCTTTATATTCTCAAAGCTTCCCATTGTCAAATCTAGCTTAGAATAAATTTTTATTCCCATTGAATAATTCTTTCTTTTGTATCCATAGTTCTTCTTTTTCATCTTGAAAAGCTTCCCTAAATCAACAAAGGAAAAATAAGGAAATATCTAAATTTCAACTCAATCAATATCGTTGATCTGTCTTGATTTAACGACTTTCAAATGAATTATCAAACTATTTGTTTGACACCAATATCAAATGATCTTACTCCTTTAAATAAATATTTTGAATATAAATTTTTGAGAGAAGTAGAATAATAAAACTTGTTTGTATATGGTTGAATAGGTGGAGATGAGAGTATGTATTCGAATCTTCCCAGTACCACCTTTGGGAAGGATTTAAAGTCTTAATCCTGGACCCGCCCTGAATCGGATTAGTTGCGAAGCAATGAACCAATTGGAATATTTCCAAAAAAAAAAAAAATTATTTAAATTAAGTTATAAAGAATATGTATTTATTTATAAAAATATTATTAATGAACTTTTATAATTTCATGATTGCCATATAAAATAATTTAATATTAAAAAAAGTTGTATTTATTTACAAAAATATCATTAATGAATTCTTATAATTATAAATTTGTGACCACAACAATAATAAAACCAAAAAATAATTTTTGGAAATGTCTCTAAATCGTTTTTTTATTTTAAACAATAAAAAATATTTATTATTTTGGGAATCATTTTTAAATGTTTTATTTTACTTTATTTTTCAAAAATTAAAAACTTTGGTTTTTTTTTTTTAACAACTAAAAACTGTTTTCAGAAACCGAAATGAAAGAAGTCCGTATCGATATTTTTTGTTTTTCTCCACCCCTTTCTTTGATCGCACCTTCTCACACATGAAATCCAACAAATGCCCTTTATGTATTAAGGCCCAATGGGTCGTTATTTCGAGACCAAAGTGAATTGTGAAAGTTAGGCTTTTTCATAGATGTGGCCACCCTAGTTCTGTGGAATTGTTAAATCTGCCTCCAAACAATGGACCATTATGTATTTTGTAACCAGCCCGTTCTCATTTATGAAAAACTCAATATACTCTTGTGAAGCATGTATTATTATGTGTGTGCCGCCCAAGTGGATATTAAGGGGTACAAATACAATGTGAAGGTTCCACCTCACCTCACCACCTGTATGGTCCAAATCTAGTCCACAATCTACACTCTACACAGAACCTGTGTTAATGATTGTTGTTGAATTTTTTCTGTTCGCACGTTCTCTCTTATTGTTGTTGAATTTTGATATTCTTTGCAGAATGGAGGATGGGCTCAAAACAGGATCATGGGTGGGGACAACGGCTATGGAACAACAAAGAACACAGGAGTACAGGTACGAAAATGCTGGCGGTGGGTGGGCTTACTGAGTGCTATTTGTTTCAATGTTGTGGTGGGGCATTTTTTTTTTTATTGTTCATATAAAATTTAAATTGAAAAAAAGCACATTCTATTCAGCAAGTACAAAATGCACATTGTTTAATGGGAAAATATTATCTTATGCTGTAGGAGAGTATTTTTCTCTCCTACACATACATCGACTTCCGTGTTGTTTTCTTTTTCTTTAAGTGAGTGGGTCTCACTCATAACTATCTCTATGACATAAGAGAGCTTCTCTTATGTCACATGAGATTAATAAAGCCCTTGTTTAATTGGCCTTGTTTAGAATATGATGCACCGATATTTTAAAAATTTTGATTGTCATGTCTGATACTTCTTAATATTTCAACACTCTAACACGCGTTGCAGAATTCAAAGAATAGTTCAAAGATCGTGTTGCATTTTTAGTTCTAAGTATTAAATTCGTTGGATTATGATTACCATTTTATTGAGTTTAATATAAATATTTGTGATATCTTACATTTTTTATAAAATTGATAGGTATTATAAGTTTAGCTTCATTTTTTTTTGTTAAATTATTGAATATTAAATACAATATACACTACATAAATTAAAAATATTATTTAATATTAAAACATGACATAATGTGTCGAAATCTATTATTTTTTAAAATTAATGTGTCGAAATATCATGTCATGTCATGTTCTGTATCGATGTCAGTGTAAATATGCAACATAAGTTTAAGAGCAGTTCATTTCACAAACAAACATTCCATTTCACAAATGCAGTAGTATGAAATCAAATTTTGACATGTAGAACATTTTGTTTTTGGTAGAATATAGAATAACTTTTTTAACCTGTCATAGAATGGTTTTTATGGTATATACTAATGGTGAATTTAATAACTATTTTATATGTTTTTAAAGTGACACAAAACTAACATAACACTAATATTTTGAAACAATATAAATTTAATAATGACACATGATAAAAATAAAAGTAAGATATTCAATTTTTTTTTTTAAATCATAGTAGCATAAAAAAAAGTCACTTTGAAATATATTATTCTTTTTTTAGGGTTTTCCTATCTATTTTGATGAGATTAATCTCCTTCATCATGCAGATTGTTATCATTGGTCCCAAATTGGGTCACCTAAGGATCGAACTGGATATCTTACAGCTCTAATAGCTTTTATATCACTTTTTATTTATTGAGAGATATATATTGGGTTACATATATATTGCCACAGTTATGGAAGGCAAGAATAGCAGACATTTGCATGGACATGGGGATTTAGGAAACGGTAGGTGAGCAATTAGATTTGATTACATTAAAGCCGTCAGTCAAAATGACATGCGGCCACTATAATTGACGAGTATTATTTGATGGGCAAAATATTTTATTTTAGACAAAATAGGTTTTTCGACAGTCATAAGATTTTGAGATTTAGGTTTTTTTTGGATAAAATGTGCTATTAAAGGCTTTAAACATATAGAATAAAATACCAGTAAAAATTTGACCCTCATGATACTTAGTCAAATTGGAATAACATCCTTGAAGATGGCACTTACCAAAATTCAAATTGAAGATGTTGCAGTTATAAAAGTTAAATCATGATTTGAATGATTGTTAAAAGCACGAGATCAATCAAATATATCTTCCATCTCTTTTATTTCTTGTAAGTTTACATCGAAGATCAATGAAAAATACTTTATTTTATACGGAAATAGATCCTCTCATGTGTAATTTAACATGATCATGTCATGCGGAAAGATCTCAACCATTAATAATTAAATCAACGGTGATGATTGTATAACTTTCTATCCTTATATTTTTTTTTTTGTCTCTTCTCTTATAATCATTAATTCACCCATGTATGATTATGATTGTCCCAGATGACATGATCATATTAATTAATTAGCACATGAAAGGATTCAGTTCCACTTCTACTCAGATTTACATTCTTTCATCTAATTATATTCGTCTCTTCAAGACATCGAATTATACCTTCTCGTACAGTATGAAACTTAAAAACCACCTTTCAAAGGAATGGATTTACTTCTCTTATTAACAACTAAAATCATTATCTCGTCAAAATTCATAGACAAAAATTCAAAATAAACACTATTACTCATCCTTTTGAAAATAGGGTTTTGTGAATGTTATGTAACAGCAAAATGAATACATCATGTCATAGAGACATGTTTTTGTAAGGCCCATCAAATATTAGAAAAAAATAATAAACAAAAAAGCTAGCACAAAAAACAATCGGAGAGTAAGAGGAAACGAAATTTTACAGTAATATGATATTACCTTTTCCCTTGAAAATAATAGATATTGGATTTGTACATGACATAACCAACTTCTTTACTTATACAGGAGAGCTATAAAGAACCTGCAACCTTATCTCGTACTTCGGAGTTGGTATCTCTAAAATTATGACTTTCGTTAACAAGCTGTGATCATTGTTTCCTTGCACATAAATAAATAATTAATTTGAAACCATACAAAAACAAAATATGCTAATCATTTAACCTGAAAAACCATCAATTTATAAGAAAAAAATACGGACAAAGTAGAAGAACTTTAATTAAGTGAAATAATTTAAACAGAAAGCAATTAGATACTGTAATGGATCTACACGAAAGACTCGTATCCTAGAAGGTCCAAAAAAAAGATAATAAAAAGAAAAAATTAAGGCAAATAAAGAAAAACGCCAATCAAGATGCTAATCCTAAGATGGCAGCTACGAAAACCTGGACATGAGCTCAAAAGATCTGAATTTCCCTACTCACAGAAAACTCTGTAAATACGAGATAAAACTTATAGGTATGGATACTTATCTCTTTTATATTGTTATGTTATTTCTGTATATACACTATCTTTTTGACAAAGCCGTTATTCTTAATACACAATAATATGCTAACCTCGAGGATATCTCCTTATAGATGCCTGAGAAAACTTCTAAATCCAATATCAACATATTAATTTTTAACTAGATATCTTTGGGTGATCTCATAGTTCTTACCGGGTGGAGATGATGGAGTCGGTGCATAATTTTTATTTTTTTTCCTTTTGCCGCATTTCACTCAAAAGGTTGAACGGAGATAGTGCATCAAGTTGCAGCATAATCATGATGTAGGAGAGACGGTATAGAACAGACACTCTAATAAAGGGATAATGTAACTCTCTTTTTGTACAAAATAAGAGAACTCGAGAATAACTTAACCATTTTTCCTTCACTTACTTTACAGCAACACGCGCGAACTCATTTTCTCGTATATAACTACACTATATATAAAAAGACATATGATTCTGTTTACACAACTTAAACCCACGTGGAGGCAAATTGCAAAAGTTTGAACAAAAGAATACACAAACTTTTTAACCAAAAGACAAAAAGAACAGAACAACTATAGATGGAGATTGCAGAATATTGAATCGTCATCATCATGTTAGAGTCCGAATCCAGACAACCTGCCAAAAATCCCCGGTTTGTATGGCAAGAAAGTTCTCTTCTTCAGATCCTGAGATTCAGCTTTCTTAATGGCGTAGTGCAATTCGTGGGGCGAAACTATTCCCTTTCTTCTCGACCCATGTGCTGATGATGAATCTGAGGATCTAAAGCTCGAACCTTTAACTTCTTCAGCCTTTAACTTCTTGAATTGTTCCTTGCTTGACCCTCTCCCTTCAGAGGCACTACGGAACAACAACAAGTCCCTCAATCTCCATCTTCTTGAACCCTTTGAAGAAGAAGAAGAAGAAGATAAATTTGTGTTTGAGGACAAGGTTGACTCCTCTTTGTTGATCCGAGGTTGTTGTTCTTCTTCCCATGATTTTCTGTAAGGAGAGTGTGATCGTGTTACCCTGCGACCCGAGTTTGATGATGAAAGCACTGTTGCTGGAGTTCTATCTCTGCCTCTTCTCTGTTCAGTTTGTGAAGCAAAAGGGTCACCAGAATGAGTCTCGTTCTTCTTTCTCGGTGAGAGGGTTTTCTTCTTCCCTTCAGTTACATGGGTTTTATTGTTGTGTTGCTTCTGAGACACAACTTTGCTTTTATGAAATGCGAACACTTCATCATCTTCAGGCTTGAAAGGTTTAATTTTTCCACCATCGAAGAGCTCTTCAGCTGAACGAGACGATTTGTCTAATTCAATACTAACAGAAAACGCAAAACCATCATCATCATCATCATCATCACCATCCACGTTATTGGTGGGTGCTTCAAATGGGGTTGTTGAGGGTGAAAAGTAATCAAATTCACTATATAACTGTGACAATCTTGTTGGGCTCGCGGGTGCGCTTAAGAAATATTCCCCAAAACGCTTTGGTGAAGAAGGAGCACTCAGATAAGATGAACTCATGGCACCACTGAAATCAAAGTTATCCCGAGAGGGACTATGACTCGGACTTTGTACCACTACTTGCATCTTCTCCCAATCTAAGCTTGTGTGTTTTGAGTTACTATCAAAAGGTTTGTGTTATAGTTGTGGTTGTCCATATATATATACACATATGTGAAGGGAAGGTGTGGGGGAAGGATCAAATGAGAAAAGGGTTAGAGATTGTTTTTTTGACCATTGACATGATTACTAGCTCATTGTGGGATTCGTTAATTAAGCCGCCTTATAATACCATTCGTATTTTAATATGTGGAAATTGTCACTTGTTAGCCTTGTGGGGTGTGGGTTGAAATCATAGAGAAGATATAACTAGAAAATTGTTGCCCCCACATGGGTGTGTTTTAAAAATTTGGTTTGCTAAGGTCAGCATGTATGTAATAATACATAACTTGTAGTTGTAGTTTAACTCATGATCCGCAACGTATCGATTTTACATGGTGAATAGCAGCATTGAAATGGACGGATGCATTATTTTTATGTGCACGTTTCAATAAATAAATATATTTGTTTTCAAAATCTATTAGCACATACTATTTTATATGTTTTTTTATTGGATAAAATTTCTTGATGTCTCCAATAATAAGATTGGACCAAAGTTAATTAGTTAATGGAACTCATAGAATTTTATGTAATCAGAGAGAGAATCTCGAAGGGCATTTGGCAAGCATTGCACAATAAACTTAGTTAATTATTCGATAAATTCTAGCAATACAATCTTCAGATTTTGTTTTTGATACCAATCGGTGTTTGAAATTCTAACACTGATTAATTTAATTTTAGGTTTAAACATTTCCGCTCTCCTCAAGCTTGCTACTCTCGGGAATTGAATCTGTTGTGGCCGACCTCATGTGGCCGACCTCATCAGGTCCAATATGTTGGACCCAATGACCTTCTAGATAATACTCCATGATGAGCCATAGATCTTCACTATAGGGAATCCAATTCTCCCTGTACAATCGTACAGACATGATGGGAGCAAATGCCACACTGCAATAGGAGAGGCAAGGCTAACAATTTTGACTCTCATTTTTTCCCTGTCTTTTATCATTAGACAATATTCATTCCCCTATATAAACACATCTTCTTTACGTGAAGAAGCACATGATTTTTCACACTTTTATGAACTGTTACTTTGCTGAAATTTAGAGATAGCTTAGCCAAAACACATATTCTCCCTTTGCAGTTATTTCTGCAGTGCACACCAATGACTCTCTTTGAGCTTTGATTCATACCATTTCTACTTTTAGCTCCTCCATATCGACATATAGATTTGGTATACAGATTTAATTCTAAATCAACAACAGTTCAAAATCCATTATATCTTTAGGCATATCAAATTTTGGAGTCTAGTGGGTATACCATTAGACCAATAACTCTTGGGTAATACTTTTTTTTCTACCTTTTTTTTTTTTTTTGATAATATCTACCTTCTTTTTTATTGAGTGAATTTTATGTTAACCCTAATAATTGAGAGTGGACCGGCCAAATTATTTAATGGGATTCCATGATATTTCACTTAATAATAAAATATGTTAAAAAGAGAGTATAACAAAAAAATCTTTTTTATTGTAATTAATTTGGTTGGTTCTAGAGGATTTTGATGTACGTTGGTGCTCAAGGAAGTTTATATCTCGTTTAAGTGATTAACCTCGACTAGGTCAATTCGGTGCTGCTATTAAATATGAAATCATGGATTATTATTATTTTAGGGGGACGGTAAGGAGAGGGTGGACTTATTAGAATCTAGAAGAACTTGCCAATTCAACATGAATTAAAATTAACTAATTAATTAATTAAAAATAAAACATATTAAAAAAAAGGTCTTATGTTTGAGAGAACTTAGTTGGATGATCATGGATAAGGATGCGTTGTAAAACTCCTGGTTATAAGAGTATAAAATAAAGATATACAGATATTGATGGATTTTTTGTAATGAATAAATACTTGAAATCGACTGGGATAGAACGATTGCAAGCAAAAAAACAAAGTACGCTCAATCTGATGATAAAGGCGCGATTAAGACTTTGCTGAATTTCTCTAATTGTTTTCCTTTAATAACAGTTGTCTCTATATTTTTGGGATTAGATTATCCGCGCTTTCACTTGATCGTCAGAAACAAAGTCAAGGGAAATATTTATAGAAAAATCATTTTTAGTATATATATATATATATATATATATATATAAAATGAAAATAAAGTGACTGGATGTAAAATTCGGTCCAGTGCAATATGTTCTCCCGCGAGAACATAGTGCAATAAATCTTACATTCACTAAACTATATATATATATATATATATATATATATATATATATATATATATATATATGCAAACGTATTTCTACAGCAACTTTAGATAAACTTATCTACAACTGTCATTTTTAACTATATTCTCCCGGGAGAATAGAGTTATAACGCTAAAGTTGCTCTTTTTTCTCTCTCCTCATTTACATTTCAGAATTTTTTTGCTGACGAGAAGAGAGAGAAAAGAGCAACTTTAACGTTATAACTATATTCTTCCGGGAGAATATAGTTAAAAATGGCAGCGGTAGATAAGCTTATCTAAAGTTGCTGTAGAAATGTTTACCCCATATATATATATATATATATATATATATATAGAGGGTTCACTTTTTCTGCAGTTACTGCAGATAAGTTATCTGCAGTAAGCCAATACGACGTCGTTTTTGGACGGAAATCATGGTGTTTTTGTAATTTTAATTTATTTTAGGGTTATAATAGTCTTTATATTTATAATTTTATAAGATTTCAATACCAAAACGACGTCGTTTTGAAAATAAATGCAGATAACTTCTCTGCATTAACTGCGGAAATATTTTTCCCATATATATATAAGTATTCTTAGTATATTTTAGTATCCAAATCAATTTAATCTGATTGTTAAGATTAACAAGAAGACTTGAAAAAATGGTTGTTGATAATATTAGTATATTTTGATTTGTGGACATTAATTATTTAAGGGAAATATATGTTTTATATTGTATCTATTATAGACGCTGGACAAGGGAGACTTATAGTACCATATACATCATATTTTGTTTAATCTATATACGCAAATGGAAAATTATAAGTTTCTTTGTTGAGAAGGTATAATTATAAAGTAATGTTTTCTTATTATTTTTCTGCATCAGTGATTGTTGGTTGCTTTGATTATATGTTTTCTTTTATAGTCACACGTGGGAAATGCCTCTATAGACTTGTTCAGCCGAAGGCTTCTAGATTTAATTGGCGCGTTTCTTGGAGTGAGCGCAAAACAAACAATATCTTAAAAAAAAAAAAACAATAATGATAACATAAGAATGCCAAAAAAAACAAAACAGTAACAACAACATAAGAATGGAATATACTATTATCTGTTTAAAATTGAGCAAGTAAAAATTAATTATTTTTAACTAAAAATATTACATCATGATCTTAACTCATTAAATGATTTAAGAATAAATAAAGCTTTATATATTTTATAAATAAATTCATTTTAAAGAAAGTTTTTTGCTATTTAAATAACAAAACGAAAAGAAATTACAACCTGTAATATGTAAAACCGCACAACAGAAAGATGCTTACCAAACTTCAACACAAAAAAGAGACACTGTGGGGGTATCTACCAAAAAAAAGAAAAGACACCGTGGGTATTCAACATTACAATCCAGCGAGATTAATGCTATGTAATAATGATTATAATAATATCAACAGAATATTACTACTTTGTGATTGTGGAATCGTTCAAGTCAAAGTCAACTATTAGATTTACTTATTAATCTAGAACAGGGCCGCATATGCGTGGAGATCATTAATTGGGCTTTCCCAATCTCGTCCATTGCGAAGCCTTATGCTTGGAAAGGATGATCCTGGGCCATTTAATACTATTCTTTTTTATTTTTTTTTGATAACAATACTATTCTAATATGACCCAAAAAGTGAAGTTGCAAGTTAATTCATTTCTAATTTAATACGGGAAGAGTTATATTTACAAAAATTTTTTTTACAAACTTTTATAAATTATACTATATTTTTCTAAGAGAACATTAGGTTACACTATGTTCTCCCGGGAGTACATAGTATAATTTGCAAAAATTTTGTAAAAAAAATTAATAAACGGATCCTTCCTCACTTAATATATATATATATATATATATATATATATATATATATATATATATATGATCAACTTACACTAGTATAAGAATAATAAATCTTATACCAAATTTTAATCGTTGATTTCTCTGATTCTAATAGTCATAATTTATTAAGAATTAATAATTAATTAATAAATGTGACCCAATAAATTATAACCATTAGATTTACGAAAATCAACTGTTAAGATTTAATGTAAGAATTATTATTCTTATACCGATATAAGTTGATCCTGCCCCATATCAATCAGTTCACAATTCCTCAATTAATTCCGATTCGAGTTGGGTATGATCACATAGACAATAAAACTCTCTCTACCAAATTTTGACATAACTACATTCCATCACTGGTTAAGATCAAACAATCTCATGATTGGTGGTAAGTTAATATTTTCTAAGACAAGGCTTTATCCTTACGCTTAGGGCATATTTGGTGTGATATATAAAGCCCGATAATATAAGCTTGTATTCTACGTTATGAGAATTTTACTTGTTTGGTGTGACCATCGTATATTATAAACTTATACAACATAATTGGGCTTAATCAGGACCAAGGGGGTTAGATTAGACCTGATAAAGGGTTGATGCATTAATATTGCTTACTAGTGCGCAATTCTGAAAATTTAATATATTATTTCAATATTAATATATTAAAATAATTTTTTTAATATATTAATTTTAAATATTTGAGATTTTTATTTTTATAAAAATTAATAATTTTTTTGGACACATTGATCAGTAGATTTTTATAAAAGTTAATATCATATGATATATTTGGAATAATTATATAAATTCTTTATTAAAGGGTCTTTTTGTTAAAAATATTTATTTTTATCCTATCTAGTATTACACAGTGCATTATCAAATATTAGATGATATTATCTTATACAATATCATGTCAAACGTTTGATAGTATTAAAATTTAATCAGGTCTTATACAATCAGGCCTTATACTATCAGATCTTATACTATTAGATCTTACCATATACTATGCACCAAACATCCCCTTAAATTCCCAATAGATTCATTTGAGTCCATAAGCATAAACATGAAATTCTTAACTACTTAATTAAAAAAAAATTATATCATGTCAAATTCATTTATCCAAAAATTTTAATATATCAAGCATATGTTATAAATAAAGTCTATCATTTTCCTTTGAACACATTGCAAAATGGAAGTAATAACTAATAATATTATGTATCTTCGATACTACACAAGTAATTAAAAACACTTTGCAGTTTTTTTTTTTGGGTAGACACTTTGCAGTTTTAATTTAACTTCGAGTATGCATGAATCGAATTGAATTTTTTAAAAAAATAGAACCGAATTGGTTTAAACAGTTCGGTTCAAAAATGATGCAGTTCAGATTGAAACTGATTCGGTTCGGTTCAAAACCGATTCGGTTCGGTTCAAAATCGATTCAGTTCGGTTCAGTTCGAAAATAATTTAGTTTAGTTTGGAATTGGTTCGGGTCGATTTTATTCTAAATAAAAAATAAAAAAATAAAGTAATAAAAATCAATTTAATTCGATTCTTGAACTGATTTTAAAAATCAATTAATTCATAAATTAATTTTTTTAAAAATTGATTCATTTCATGAATTGTTTTTAAAAAATATATTATTTTAAATATAATTCAGTTCAATTTAATTTTTTAATTATTTTGCACTTGTTAAATTTAAACATTGTTATAGGCATAGACTCGCCTAACTACATGAAAATTATTTGATAGTACAATTGGGCCGTCTTTAACTTTAAACAAACCAGCAAGTATAAATTTAACTAGTGTGACTTGGCAACCGGATATGTATATTATTTGTATATTATTTATTTATACATTTTTTTAATATGACAGGATTTCAACTTTTCATTGATGAAATAAAGAAGTACAGTAGGCGACCATTTCGGGGGATTATTTAATGGAAGAAAACTGAGAGAGTCCGTAACCATGTGGAAAACAAATATAAAAGCTCCAAGTAAAAGACAAAAACAGGACCACTCGAACTCAATCCAGTACACACATCACTGTTAATATTTTTCTTCTTTTCTTTAGCATAAGACAAAGTTTAGATTCCCAGTCTGGCCATGGGCCCATGGCAAACTCGTTAAGAAAGAAATTTCTACAATACTACATACATTGAATTTTCTATACATCTCTTCAATCAAGATCCCAAATATATGTGTTAAATTTTAAACGAAAATAGGATGTATTATTGATGTACCAAAGATTACCTCCACACACCTTGCAAATTGCAAAATATGTCATTAAATAATGGGTTATGTTTATATCATTTTACATGAAATAAATAACTTACACACACAAAAAGAAGTTGGGTCTCACCATTCTTTTTTTTTCTCTTCTTATCTATGGGTCCCACTTATACTTTTATTTCTACAACATGAGGTAATTTTTTTCCTACAACATAAGAAAAATATATCCCTTAAATAATACATTTGTTCCACTATAAATGTTTCTATATAGAGTGATAATGAAATCTGTATAAATATCATTGTTTATTTTGCATTTTTTCTTTAATTATTCAATCAAAAAGTACCGGCAGTTAACTGAGCTACCCCCTGCAATTGAGAATTAGACTTTCAGTAAAGTTAAATGATAATTTGTCTCATTTTATTTTCAAATGATTGCAATTATATTTGCACTCTCACTCACATGTGTTAACTAGCATTATTTTAACTTAAGACAGGTGACACCGGATGATTATTAATCACTAAGAAAAGTGCGAGCATGTCATCTCAAAATTAGGAGTTTAGCAATTATCTTGATAAAAAAGATATTACAATTTACTTTAGGATTTGATTTTGGTATATTAAAATGAAAACAGATGACAAATGATGATTTGGAAAAGAAAATGGTGAGTTAGTTCAACACTATCATATCTAAATTGGTACATTGAAACTAGTAGGGACCAGTGTGAAGCAGATAAAAAACTATGGTAATTTTTATGACTTCAACTTGCATGACAACAATACAAGGAGAAGATTGAGTAAAAAATTCAGCTTTTTTGCAGCAAAGACTGCATGCAACCCACAAGCCATAAAAGCACGGTGAACACAAAAATGGAGTTGCAATTAGAGCACTTTTATTGTGTCAACTGTCAAGTATATTTATTGAAGAGGCCTCTTCTGCCACACCAAAAGCAACCTGTCATGAGATGGACCACAATGTGTGTGCTAATAACTAGAGAATTTCGTTATCACTCCTCGTTTGGATGTTGGACTATAAATCTTCAGTACATGTGAACGCACCATTGTTCATTGATGACTATAATCTTCAGAACATGTGAACTCATACTCACCATTGTTCATTGATTGACATGGTAACAGGTGTCATTTAATATACAGCTAATACTTTCATACACCTTCATCACTTCCTTTGTTTTCTTGTCAATGAAGTTAAAGATCCATTTATTGCACACAGAAAATAATCAGATTTGGTTCTGTTCAATCCAAGTGAGATTTTAAAAATGGACTCTATAAGCCTTTTTTTTTATATACAATGAGAGCACTGATGTTTGAACTTATGACTTCATGCAAATTACTTAAATCTCTTATCACTAAATCAATCCTAGTGGGTTGACCCTATAAGCCTTTTAATTGATATTGTATTGGTTGGACACTGATTCAAATGTAATTGGAAGGAACAAATAAGATTTCTGAAAAAGTTACACAATTATATAGTTCAAATTCCAAAGGTTATACAGTGCTTACTTTTTTCATTTTTGTTAAGAAGGATCTAAAGAAATCTACCCAATTGTAGAATAGAAGAGATGATAATCTATATTCGTAATATGTATGATCTACAGCTGTATACATAATTGCATCCCCAACACCAATAAAACAATATAGAGAAAACTGGAGTAAAACTATGTGCATAGCAAGTATCTAAAACTGAACTCATATGGCAAAATTTGTACAAATTGTGAGAGGGGTTCAGTTTTTCTTTTCTCAAGGAATGTAATGGCTTCTTTCCTCAGTTCACTTGGCAACTGGAGGCAGATCCAATCCATCAATGATTCCAAGTCTTTTGCAAAGTTCAGTAAATACCAATCCAGAAGCTTTGGGATAGCAAACTTAGATGTTGAAATTCCAACTGTTGCCTGTAAGTACTCTCTTTTGGCCACTTCCAATTCATTCTCAACCTGGGATGCTGTGTAGACTCTCACCTGCATTTGGCATAGTTTATGACAAGAGGGATGGAATTTTCAAATCTTGTTTAATGATGCAATGAGACAAAATGCAAATCATGAATGGATTAGATGTGGGGTTATGGAATATCACAAAATTCTGTGTAAACTACTCATCAACTTACAGCAGGAGAGGACCATGTTCCACAAGATAGAGCAAATGTCACTAAGGGCTCTGAAAACTCGAGTCCATATATGCTTCTTGCTGTCATTTCATGATTTTTTGCTCCTTTGGAAAACGTCTGTTTGGAATTCATTGGTTAACTCTTTATTCTCATTTATATAAAAGCTAGAGTTAAGATGGCCAAGACTTACAAATTTCCAGTGATAAGGAAGTCTTAAAATGAAATGCTCTATGATTGTTGCACTTAGCATGTGTCCACCCACATTAATTGTTGCCTAAGTAACAAGAAAACAGCATAAATTGTCGAGCACACCTGTGCTATGTCATACTCAACTAGAAGAACAAACACTATACATTACAATCCTATCCAGAAGAAGCAAAATTCTATAGCATTTCATACCTTCCGCATCAGCACAACAGCCATTTCAGGACTCTCTGGTATACCATTCTCTATGAATGCCTGAAGCAAAGTAGAAATTTAGATACCATCTTTATTATGGTTTGAAAAGAAAATTAATTACACCACTTGAGATAAACTATTACTGATATTAAAGAGAAAAATAATATAGTTAGAAAACAGAAAATTTTAGATACTTATACTGAATGCTATTCTAACGAACTTAATAGACATACATTCATCATACACGAGTTATAGATGTTGATCCAGAATGCAAGCTTCTCCTGATGGTTGAGGTTCTCTAAGTTGACAGAGGCTAGTCTCCTAAAAAGAAGTCTGCAAATTTCCCAAAACCAGAATACTGTAACTTCTAATTAACACACATTATAACTAACTAGTATCATGGAAATGTAAACAGTATTTTAATTTAAATAGAATGTAACATACTTTAACCGATGTAGTAAAAACAAAGTATTTGCAGCTCGTTTTGGATTGAAAGATTTAGCATCAATTGCACATAATTGCTTGTACGGACCAATATCCCTCTTTCCAAATTCCAAACAGATACCATACGGATCCCAAAAGGGTGGTATGTCACCTGCATAACGTGGATTCTTCACAGCACTCATTCTCAACAGAATGCTTGATAAGCACTTTAGAATATTTTCAGAAACTATATTTGGGCTGTCAGCTACAGGTGGCATTTTGTGTGGACTAGGATTTCTTGCTTCTACAATTTTCTGGTCGTTTACCCTTGGTTCTTGCTGCAAAGTGGAAAAATTTCTTAAGTTTTCACCTACTAGCCCTATCACTTAGGGAGGGTAGGGGTGACGTCGATTGTACTCAGTCTTATCTTTGTATATTTGCAAAGAGACTATTTTCCAAAATCGAATCCGTGATCTTCCGATCACAAGAAGCAACCTTACCTTGCTCCAAGCTCACCCTCCTACTAGCCCTATCACACAACTGAAAACTATTTCTACAGTAAACATGACATACCTGTCTTTTTGGAGGTTCCCACTTTTTCTGCAGTGATTTATTGTCAAAATTAAGTTTTTTAATTGGAGTTTTGTTCATTTGGTTTGAAGATTGCTGCATGCTCTTGGAAGAATTAGTACATGATTGATTCTCTTTTCCTTGTCCATTCTCTGACAAGCCAAACAACAGACACAAGCCATGAGGGAGGGACTACACTTTTTTTGGTACAAAGTGAATGTTAAGAAATTTAGCCTCAAATCTTAAACAGCACTTAATTAAGCTGAACCAGTGAAACACAATGATGAGTTTCTCACCTGGGAGTGTTGTGGTAGGCCTAGTTGCAGATGTTGCTGGATTATTACCATCTGTTTGGGAAAGAGACTTCAATTTATCCAATTTGGGACTATCCATTGTTGGGTTTGATTTGTTTGGAGAATCTGAGTGCTCCATTTTCCTCTTAGAAGATGACATGTAGACAGCTTCCTGGTACAAATCCTGTCTGAAATTCACTACCTGCCCTTCAAGCCTAAAAATTTCCTCTTCCAGAACTGCCAGTTCAGCCAGAAGGGCTAGTATCTATAATTTTCAACATTAAAAATCAACAGTCAAATTTCTTTTCTAAATCACTTTCTAACTTAGCAACAGACAACAGTACTTGTTCAGAAAAGGACTGAACAATAGAAAGGGAGAGAGGTTCATTTACTAACATGGGGAGGGAGATAAGGAGGAAGACGAGGCATAGCTCCCAAAGGTCTATTGAAAGCTCTCTCCAATGCCTTATGGATATTCTCTTCATTCCTAAGCTTCTTCTTCAACCTATCCACCTTCAAGTTGGAGAATTCAGCTCAGTTTCCAGTTAAAGACAATACAAGAAAGTGAAACCCAAATAAAGAGATGGAAAAGAAATGGTGCCAATACATCTTGTTGCAACGCCAATTTTCTTTCTTTGCTTGAGGCTTTTCCACCTTTAGTTGCATTCCTCAAGCTTCCCTGCATCATTTACCTTTTCATTCAAGGCTAAAGAGGTTAGAATCCATCAATGAAAAAAATAACAAAAAAAAAAAAAAAATCAAATCCCAGAAAGCTATTGAGAGTAACTATTCATGAATTATGAAACAGTGTGTCCTTTATGAAACAGTAATCTTAATACAACAATGCCGACCTTTCAGAATTTTCGGGTCATTGAAACTGAAGCCAAAGTTTGTGAGTGATGAAAGCTGTTACGATGCTAAGATACTTTAATAATAATAATAATCAACTTTATCTACTGCACAAACTCTTTTTCAAACATATCATACGACATGAATGTATCCTTTTTTGAATTCTGACTTTAGCAAGTTTAATTACTTTTTGGTGTGCTATTGGAGCTTTCCTAGTCCTGTCTCTGGTGTTCATGTTTTCAAGTTATACTAAAAATCTGAAATTACCATTCAAACCCAATTGTCAACTTCTATAGACAAATCGCATAGACAGGATCAACTTGGAAGATATACAAATTCATTGAAACCGTGATCAATCACTTGGGGCAGTTAAAAATCAAACCTTTTTTTTTTATCTAGGCATTAAACAAACCAGCTCATTGATCCAGAAGGAGACTGAAACATGACAATAAATGAAGCACCATTTGAAGAAGATGTCAAACACTATACTACAAAAAATATGGTGGATAGAAGAAGAAGAAGAAAAAGATGGGATGGTGGTTGAGGCGAGTCTCCACACTCCAGTTGTTTCCAGTTCCACCGCTTAGAATGAAAAGAATATAATAATATTGAAGAATGGTACAGTGAAGGGGACAGAAAGAGAGAGAGAGGTAGCTTGCAGTTTCGGAATGGTGAATGAAACTTGAAAGAAATGACTGGTCATGCGAAAAAGACTATAGAATATGGATAGATGCACATCCAACCTGGCCCTGAAAAGCAGAATAAGACACACAAAGCTAGCTACTGAGATTGACATTGAATTGAAGGCTAGGCTCCAAACAAAGCTTCTGTCATCATGAACCGACCTGTATCCTCACATTCTTAGTTTTTTATTTTATCAATTAGCAACTATTTTGTATAATATAAATCATTAACAAATGTCCTCGTTTGACATTTTGAATTGAAGTGGTTTTTTATATGGTATTAGAATTTCAATGACCAAAAAGTCACGAGCTCGATGCTCTCACTTTCAAAAGACTCTTGCGTGAGGAAATGTGTTAAAAAATAATATAAATCACTAAAAAAATCTTCACTTAATAACTGAAAATTTTAAGATTTTGAATTGAAGTAATAGGTAATTTAATTCGGGATGGACGCTGAAATTAAAAGTTTTAAACATCTGTCAAGGACAATACTCGAGAAGATCCCTCACCCCACGTGCTCATTTCCGTGAATCCAACTAAACTACTATTGTTTGTTACATTCTTAATTTTTTTTTTTTTTAAGGTCAGGTGTTTGTGTTTTAAGTTTTAACCCCCACGATCCTTTCCACCTTCTCATTTTGCTTTTACCATTTTTCATATTGAACACATTATTAGAGTGTGTGTGTATTTCTGAGAGTAATAATTATCCTCCTATTATAATTTGGTGGGGATTGGTTACTTTTTGCGGTATATAATGCAATGAAGTTTATGTATTAATTAAATAAGTTCATGGGATGGTTCTTGTCAGGCAAAAGCTGCACGAATCACATGCTTTGCCAACTAAATAATTCCCTTGCTCATTTGAATTATAGGGCATTCCAATTCCAAGACTTCTGAGACTATCTTTTTTTATTTGGAAGCAACCATTTATTGAATGGTTGAATTATATTAAAGATGAACATAATAAAATGTATTGCCAAGTAAGCATGGTTTAGATTGTTGAAAGAATTTAGATAAAGATTATTATGATAGAGATTAAATTTTGATAATAATTTTTTGTATAAAAAATTCATATACTTTAAAACTTTTTATTGTTTGTCCTATTCGAAAAATACAGTTAAAAGAAGACTCGGATGCACACGGTTGCTTCAATTCAACCGGTAAATTAGTGACCTATCAAGTTGATAAATTGGGAAGAATCAGTAGGGTGGACCAGTGAATTGAATAAAGTCTTTTTTTTTTAATAATTCAAATATCTAACTATTTTACCCAAGAATTCTTAGCCTAGTGGCAACCTATGTAGCACCGATACGACACGCGACACGCGACACGTGACACGACACGACATGACATTCTGACACGTCAATCCTAAAAAATTATGGATTTCAACATGTTGGGCCACGTTTTAATATTAAATAATATTTTTAATGTATATAGTGTATATTTCATTTAATATTTAATAATTTAACAAAAAAATGAAACTAAATTAATAATACCCATCCACACGTTATAAAGATGGAAGCTTTAATAAAAAAAATAAGAACTGGGATGAGAGAGAGATATAATATCAGATAGAGAGATCAAATCATATTAGAGAGAGATCAGAGAGAAGAAAATACAACAAGAGCGTGATAGGAATTGACAACAATGATGCTGAGATGATCTCTTATCTACTTAAGGAGAAAAAAGACAAAAGATGAAATTGATATGATGAGGTGGAAGCTTTATTAATATATTTTAACTTTAAAAAAAAATTAAAAAAATTTAAAAAAAAATTACGAAAATGCCATTTGACCGTGTCGGACACGGTCAAATTCGCGTGTCGGAATGGTCAACGTGTCGGAAAAAGTCAACCGCGTGTCGGACCCGACTCTTCCTGTTTTTACAAGTGTCCGTGCTTCCTTGGTGGCAACTATATCTCAAGATTTGAAGAGAGACAAATCTCAAATCGAATTAGTTAGGCTAAGAACTGCTACCACTAGTTGGGAAATTTTTAATATACTACCGCTGCACCCAATATTGTATACATATATCCAATAAAAATTAAACACCTAAGCACACACAGTAAAATGTAAAAGACAAAAAACACTATTTAAACACACATGTTTAATTCTTAATGGCAGTAGTATCTACAACAGTTGCACGGAAGATGTGCTCCACTAGTTGATATCTAAAAAAAATCTAATTATTTTTAAATGACTTTAAAAAAAAATTCAACGCTAAAGTATGTATCTTAAAAGCAAGGTAGACTTTTTCTTAATGTAAAATACCCATTTAAAATGATTCGCATTACATGTATTTTTTACTAATAAATCAGTTCATTTATATAATATATGCATATATTCACAATTTAATTATTTCTAAATATATTTATAAATCAAATAAACTAATTGAGCTTGTGTAGTCAGTTTCGGGAGGAGATCACGTGGTTCCAAAGGTCTAAATGCAACTAATTTCAGCTTGGTGACAGGAACACGGGGTACTTCCACTCCATCACTGTCACGAGGAGACGCATAAACAAAATCGTCACAATCATGGATGAGCAAGGGACTTGGCTTGCTGAAACCCAAGAACTGATTGATCATACCACAAGCTTCTTTGGATCTCTGTATTCAGCAGATGTTGGAACCCTCGATGTCCTTCCTATCTCAGGCTTGTATCCAGTGATGAATGATAATGAGTTTAGTACCTTTGACAGATGCCCTACTCACGAAGAGATGTGTACCGGTAGCTTGAAGGCTTCTGGCCTAGATGGTTTAAATGCCCTCTTTTATTAGTCTCAGTGGAATGTGGTCAGTCAATCTGTTTGTAATTTGGTTACTGATATCTTCACTGATCCGAGAAAAGTGGGGGATGTTAACCAAACTTTCCTTTGTTTGATCCCCATAGTGGAGAACCCGGCTACCATGAAGTAATCTGTCCCATCAGTTTACGCAACGTCTCTTATAAAATTATTTCTAAAATTATTACTAATCGGTTGAAGGGTTTTTTGCCCAAACTGATTTCCCCTAACCAATGAAGCTTTGAGCATGGTAGGAATAGTGCTGATAATGTTATTATAACTCAAGAGATCATTTATTCTATGAGAAGGAAGAATGGTGAGAAGGGTTGGATGACTATCAAAATAGACTTAAAAAAAGCCTATGATAAGCTTGACTTGAATTTTGTGAAGGAGACGATGCATGATGCTGGTTTTCCTAATCACCTTATTAATTTGATTAATCAATGCGTGACTTCTCCTTCCATGAACCTGCTTTGGAATGGAAAATCTACAAAAAAAACTTTTTTCTTTCTTGAGGGATCAGACAAGGAGATCCTCTCTCCCCATACATCTTTATTTTGTGTATTGAAAGATTATCTCACATAATTCATATGGCTGTGGAGGTCAGAGCTTGGAAACTGGTTATCCTTCGGAAGGATGGGCCTCCTATTTCACATTTTCTATTTGAGGATGATATCTTGCTATTTTGTGAAGCCTCATTGGACCAAGCCAAATTGGTAAACCAAGTCTTAAGGAAGTTTTTCCGGGCATTAGGTCAGACAATTAGTCAAGATAAAATGAAAGTGTTCCTTTCTAAGAATGTCCACTTCAACAGAGCTCAAGATATCAGCAATTGCATGGGGTTCTCGACTATAGGAGACCTTGGAAAGTACCTGGGCATACCTCTTCTTAGCAGGAGGGTCACGAGAAATACCTTTAGCCATATACTTCAGCTTGTCAATTCACGTCTTTCGACCTGGAACCAAACTTCTCTTTCCTTTGCAAGTCAAATGACCTTGGCAAAATCAGTGTTGAATGCCTTACCAACGTACTCTATGCAGTCCTCAATCATTCCTTGTTCGATTTGTGATGACATTGATAAGTGTACCAGGAATTTTTTCTGGGGATCATCTTGTACGCAGAGGAAGATACATTTGGTTAAGTGGGATAAAGTGTGTCAACCCTTTAAAAATGGTGGTCTGGGTCTTAAAAATCTTCAAACGTTCAATAGAGCTATGATTATGAAGATGGGCCATGGATTAATGTCTAATAAGGATAGCCTTTGGACTAGGGTGCGGCGGAACAAGTATAAAGTGGGGCCAGATCTCATTCCTTCTATAAATGCTTCTCTCACTGGCTCCAATCTCTAGAAAGGAGTTTCGAAGCTTTGGA